TATAAATGTCACATTAATTTGGAATATAAATATATTCACAATATTCTTTGGGAATAGGACCCTGCCACAAAATTTCACTACTAAGTGTTTAAATTTAGGAATAATGGGGGATAAAGAAGCAGAATTGACCAGGGCAGCTTGTCTTGTGCCACATTGCCAAACCCCAGGGCTCTCCCAAGGACTTGGACGTGCCGAGCCCACGGAATTCATGGAAAACCAGCTCCAGGTCCGTGCCCGGCTTTAAACCACCATCAAATTTAGGAGCAGCGGCCGCATCCTGAGTGAGACGGAGCCGGGACAAACCCCCCAAAATCCAGGTGCCAAACCCAGCCGCCGGAGCAGCCGGGACAAACCCTCCAAAATCCAGGAGCAAACCCCGGCCCCCGGAGCAGCCGGGACAAACCCCCCAAAATCCAGGAGCCAACCCCGGAGGAGCCGGCGCGGCCCCGGGAGCTGCGGGAGCGGAACCTGCCAGGGCTGTCACAGGGAGCTGTCGCCCTGCCGGCCCCCTCAGAGCCTCGTTAAAAATGTGACGCTTCCCTCAGGCGACCAGGGGAGACACGGCCGAGTTAATGAGGATGTGACAGAGTTTACGGGTCAGATTAGACTCCTCTCCCCAAGGGCTGCGCTCGGAATAAACCCGAGGGGTCGGGGGAGAAGAAGGCAAGGCGAGGGTGAGGGACGGCCAGGGGTTTGGGGAGCATGTGTGCTCGCCAAAAGAGCAATCCTGTACTTGTCAGCGTTAATCAGGCACATGCTGGACAAGCAGAGAGCACTCGGCCCTGCTGGGAAGGGAAGGGAAGGGAATTAAACCCTCCTCTCCTCGCCCCACGGATCCGGCCTCCTTGGGATGCGCCAGGAGTGCGTTTGCAAACACATCCTTACAGCTCTCCTGCTTCGTTTCCCCTTTGAAAAACAAATAAACAGAATAGTTCTGGGGTTTTGTTGTGGGTTTTTATTTTCCCTCTTTTTCCCCCCTTTGTCTAATCTGGGAAGCAAAGAACTTCCAGCAAGAAGCTGGGATACACCGGAGACATCTCCAGCTGGGACTGGTTGGGCAAGGGGCACCTGGCACGTGCAGTGGGGAAGGGTTTGCACCCCAAAATCCCAAGGTGCCTGAAACATGGAGCATCCACAGTCCTAGCCCAAGCAACTGGGATTTGGTACCTCTTAAAGACATGTACAGAATCCAGCTGATCCCACTGGAAATGCCGCTTCCAAAAGGCCCAGCCCTACAGCAACCTGTAGATATAACCCTACAGCCACGCCTGGAGGGAAGGGGACACCTGTGGGCCCCTCTCCCCCCATCAACAGCATTTGTGGGGACCAAGAATCTCAGGGAAGCACCGAGAGGGTTCCATCTGAGGGCACCTATTTAATCCCAACCCCTTAAAACCGAAATAAAGCTCGAAACAATCCTGAACCAACCCCTCGAGCCCAAACAGCAGCGAGATTTGGGAGCCAGTCCAAGCTCTGCAGCTTAGGCCCATCTCCAAATATCTCCCAACAAGTTTATTTATGGAAAATAAAATCAGTCCAAGATGTTCACGGCTCAGGAATATTTAATGCTATTTGGTGGGAAAGTATTTCCAGCGAGGAGGGAACCGCACGGGCACCGCACCGGGCACGGCGCTGGCACCGACCCACCCCAGGCACCCCGGGAGCTCTGAACTGGTCTGACTGGACCAAACGCCTCCCTAATTTAGTTCAGAGCAATCCTGGCTAATTAACTGGCTTTGGAGGCACAGAGCTGGGCTGAGGTGAGCCGTGGGAAGAGGAAGGTGCTGAGGCACCTCCGAGGGGAGCGTCGCCCCCGGGTGCCACCGCAGCCGTGAGCTGCCTGGGGATCCAGCCAGACCTGTCCCCCTCCCTGTCACCCCAGGGATAGGAAGGACGATTTCCCTGGCTGGGAGGAGGAGGGAACAGCAGCAGAGAGAGGGATAACCCAGATGGTGTTCAGACACAGCCCCCCCTGTGCTGCCCCTGGGGTGGGCACGGCCCCTGTGCCAGCCCAAATCCCGGGATCTGCGGCCACCCCGGCACCGAGGCCACACACGGAGGTCACACATGACACAGAGCTGTCTGCCAGGGCAGCCCTGGGTCAAGGGCAGGCCAGAAGCAGCGGTGATGGGAGTCACTTTAATAGACACCTGTCACCTGATGGGGAGTGTTAATGCATCCCTCTGCTCCCGTGGGACACGGGTGAACATCCTCATCCCAGCTGCCACCACGCTGTCACTTGGCAAAGGGGGGGGACACAAAAACAGCCAGGGAGGGAGGGACAGCACCAGGGCAAGGTCTGGCTTTTACAAACAGCCCTAATATCCCTGGAAGACGTCTCCGAGTCATGCACTGGGTTGGAAATGTCTCCCATTATAATTATGAGTCATTCGTGACTCAGTGACATTTCTGGAATTAAAAAGCAGTGCCTGGCCCAGGCTGTGCTGCCCCGTGCCAGTGCCACACAACTTATTTCTGATGCTGTTTGCCAGACAAACAACCCCCCAGAGCCATCACCCCCCACCCTGGATATGCAGCCATTCAGGGGCAGTTCCCTGGGACAACAAGTTTTGGATTCACACCCCAAGGGGTTCTTTCTGTGTAGGAAAAGCTGGGACCTGAATTCCACCCAGGACAGTTCCAAGTGTCCTGCCTACAGCTGGAGCAGCCCCAGGGGTGTCATGAGCTGGGTGGGATTTCCCCAAACATAGTGTTGAAACATAAATTCCTTCAAGTAAATAAAAACAACCTGTGAAATCAACAAAAGTAACTCCCGACAGCCCAGAACTCACAACACACGCTGAGACTTGGTGCAAAAGTGGGGCCACGCTGCTGCTGCAAAACACCTGCACTAAAAAGGGGGTTCAGGGACCCCTGGGACACAACAGGGTTGGGGTGGTCACACTGGTGTGTGCTCCCAGGAACAGGCATTTTCATGAAGGCAGCCCCATCCTCACTGCTCAGTTTTGCTCTGGGAATGGCCAAACCCAGGGCAGGAAGCACTGGTTGAACTGATAACCCTCGATCACACAGTTGTTCCCCCCCATCTCCCCACGGTCCCTTTACAGCCCGGGAGCTCTGATATTAAAGCTCTGTTATTAAAGCACTGGATTTTAGAGGCTGGGAGGCAGCTGCCCTCATGGAAGGTGTGGGGCAGGGATGCTCAGGGACAGGGATGCTTGGAGGCTGGATGCCTGAGGGTCAGGATGGTCAAAGGCTGGGAGGTTGGGAAGATGGGGTGCTTGGGAGTCAGGGTGTTCAGAGACTGGGATACTCAGGATGCTCAGAGGGACACTCAAAGGGTGGGATACTCAAGGGTCAGGATGCCCAGAGGCTGGGATGCTCAGGGGTCAGGATCCTTGGAGGCTGGGATGTTCAGGGGTCACCATGCTTGGAGAGAGGGATGTTCAGGGGCTGGAATGCTCAGAGATAGGATGCTCAGGGGTCAGGATGCTGAGGGATCAGGATGGTGAGGGATCGAGATGGTCTGGGGTTAGGATGATGAGGGATCAGGGTGCTCTGGGGTCAGGATGCTCTGGGGTCAGGACACTGAGAGATCAGGATGCTCTGGGGTTAGGATGATGAGGAATCAGGATGCTCTGAGGTTAGAATGATAAGGGATCAGGATGCTCTGGGGTCAGAATGCTCTGGGGTCAGGATGCTGAGGGATCAGGTTGCTCAGGGATCAGGTGTGACGGTCCCATTCACCAACACCCCAATTGCTCTGTGCAGAGATGGAGCTCAGGGATCAGGATGCTCTGAGGTTAGGATGCTGAGGGATCAGGATGCTCTGGGGTTAGGATGCTCAGGGATCAGGATGCTCGGGGGTTAGGATGCTCTGGGGTCATGATGCTCTGGGGTTAGGATGCTCTGGGGTCAGGATGCCGAGGGATCAGGATGCTCTGGGGTCAGGATACTTAGGGATCAGTATGCTGAGGGATCAGGATGCTCTGGGGTCAGGATGCTCTGGGGTCAGGTTGCTCTGGGGTCAGGTTGCTCAGGGATCAGGTGTGACAGTCCCATTCACCAACACCCCCATTGCTCCGTGCAGAGATGGAGCTCACGGGGACCCTGCAAGGCCGTGCCAGGGCAGGGTTTGTGGCACCAAAGCAGAGCCAATCCCTGGGACCGAGGGGGCTTTGGGATGCCAGGAAAACCCAGCGTGGTGCAGGAGCCCTCCCTGCCCATCCC